ATCTCTCTGGAACTCTACATTATGGTCTTCTTTTCACACCCTCAGATATTCATACCATTACAGCATATACAGATGCAGACTGGGCCTCGGATATTGATGATAGAAGAAGCACTTCTGGCTTTTGTGTTTTTCTAGGCAACAACCTTATATCTTGGAGCTCCAAGAAGCAGCCTACAGTATCCCGGTCCAGCACTGAAGCTGAATACCGCAGCCTTGCCATTGCTATTTGTGAGCTTTCTTGGATTCAATCTTTATTACAGGAGCTTCATCATCCTCTTCAAAGACCTCCCACTATTTGGATGGACAACATGGGAGCCATATCATTATCTGGAAATCCAGTGAACCATGCTAGAACCAAGCATTTGAAAATTGACCTTCACTTTATACGAGAGAAAGTTGCCCAAAAATCTGTTCTTATTAACTATGTCCCTGCATCAGATCAAGTTGCCGACATTTTTACAAAGCCTCTTTCACATCAATTCTTTGCTCGTCTTCGAACCATGTTACATGTCTTACCTCAGACCTCGCTCGAATTGCGGGGGGATAAAAGCCAAGCCAATGACCTCATGCAGTACCATGCAGATCACATGACGAGCGCGTGAATTATTTTTAGCATTCTCCTTTTATATATTTTGTCTTATTCTTCATGCTTAGATGACTGCCATGTGTAGGGTATAGATGATACCAATCCTTGTATATAATCCCTTACTTCAGATAGGGTTACTAATGATTATGGAATGAAATGAATTGATTGCGGCTGCTATGTCTCTCATCTTTCTCATCATGTTTCTTGGATCTGCTGCTCGTTTTTCTAACACTCGCCACCCGAGCCACCGAATAAACCTGGCAGCCACCCAACTCCACCGACGCTCTACCGGAGAAGAAGAGCAATCCAATGGAAACAACAATCCCGGACCAAAACAGAGATCGAGGAGTTTACCTCCACCTTTACCCGGCGACGAGCCACCGATGACCAAAGAGGGGGAAGCCGCCGCTAATCGCTAAAATCCAGCAATCGATGAGGAGGCTACTCGGAAATCGTAGCAGCACGAGCCATGAGGCATCAGGAACACGTCGAGCGGTCGAAGGTGACCACTGCCCAAGGCATCGTCGTCGACGAGGAAGGCTAAGAGGCGGCGAAGAGGGGCGACCGGCGAGTAGGGTTTTTTTGGGCGAAATTGGGCTCGTTAGCTCTTGTAGCTAAAAAAATATCATCTGCTCCTCTGCATTGAAAATTCCCATTTTCCATTCACATACCTTTTGGCCCAGCCAAAATTTATTTGATTGAAATTAGTATAGCCAGATAGTTAGATGGGAAACATTTTATTAATAAATTTATACTTCTTTTAATAAAAATAATATTTATAAATAAATAATTTAATACAAATAGAAGTGTGATATTTCATAATATAATTTAATCATTTGCATTATATATATATATATATATATATATATATATATATGTGTGTGTGTGTGTGTGATTTTGGATAATTCATTTAATGATTTACTTAAATAAAAATTGCTCGTTGATTAGAATGTTAATGTTAAAAATGCTCATCTATCTCACTATTAGAATCTATTGCAATATTCCAAATGGAAATAATAGCATTGAAATATACATTGTAATTGCCGTTAGAATTCAATTGGAATATATTACCGTTTGAAATAATTTAATCATTTGCATTATATATATATGTGTGTGTGTGTGTGTGTGATTTTGGATAATTCATTTAATGATTTACTTAAATAAAAATTGCTCGTTGATTAGAATGTTAATGTTAAAAATGCTCATCTATCTCACTATAAGAATAAGATGAAATTTCAATGGAAAATTCAAACGGTAATATATTCCAATTGAATTCTAACGACAATTACAATGTATATTTCAATGCTATTATTTCCATTTGGAATATTGCAATAGATTCTAACGGATACTCCAACAAAAATTTTATGTTGGAACTTAGAATGAGATTTCCACTGGAATTTCCGTTGAATTTTGATGATCCCGACGTTACATTTTCCAACGGTTGAAATATGAGTGAAAATAAAAATTTCAACAAAAATTATATACTCCAACGAAAATTTCTACGGTAAAAAATCTTTGGAATTGTAGCCGTTGTAATAATCAAATTTCATATAAATTCTAATGGAAAACCTCATTCCAACTGAATAATTCCGTTAAAATTTTCGTTGCAATCATTCCAACAGAAGCTATATCATTGGAATATCCATTAGAATTTTCAGTATAATATATTACCGTAGAATTTTCCGTTGGAATATGACACTTTTTTTTTTAGTAGCGTCTGTCATGAGAACATTAAGATATGTTCATTTGTCACGCGACAAAATTTTGTTATTTTAATATCATATCTACTATTTATGTATGTTAATCTTAAGTCATATCATCTCGTGAACTTATTAACTCATGACCATCATGGCAAATTGTAACTCTTGAAAACTAAGCTGTAATTTAATTAATGACAAATATATTTTAAATATTTTTTTTTTAAAATTGGTACAAATGCACAGTGATTCATAAACAACGTTGTTGAAATTTTTCGATCCATTAATTGCAGAGTTTCAACTTGCTAAAAAAACATCTCATTAATTAGAGCAATAAATGTATTTGATGCTCAACTGTAATATTTGATTGATTAATTAATTTTATTTATTACTACCAATTTAAGCTATATATCTATTTGGGCATGTCACCCTTTCTTATAAATGAAACTTAGTTGAGTATAGTTTGGTTCTACTTATAACTTTAATTCCATTTATCATAAGAGGTAGACAGCATAATTGAATGTAATTAGAGCTATGATAAAGTATTGTAATTAGAGCTATGATAAAGTATCTCACAATGGGGTCAATGAAGCAATACAAACCATGATAAAGTATCATTAATGGTTTTCAATTGCAAGTAAATAATAATCATCATTTTTATACAAGATTTCCTCTATGTAAATTAAAATATGACAATAAACTCACTTTAATTTTACATAATAATATACTATGCAATAAACACCCAATAATTTAGAATCAAACACACATAATTAATTGTAATAGTTGTTGGTATATGTGTCCTAGAGACAATCATTTTAAGGACATATGTACATGGTCACATTAATAATTATATTGAATTATAATTATGGTATTGCAATTAATTAAACAATTATTTGATTGTTTGCAATTTATTAATTAATTGCTCACTCGAGTTGATATTGTCATTAACAGAGTGAGATATTAATTGATAAAGTATAACTCTCAAATCGCCTCAATCGATGATCATTAAGAAAGGGATATTAATGATACGCGATAGATTGACATGTGGTCTGCATCGTATTCTTAGAAAATATAATATGTCTCACTGCTATGAACAATTGTTATTCGAGATGGACACATGGATATTTTGGAGAGTATTGACATACCCTACCGATAAACTATTTGTTTATGTGTCTATGGAAGTATAGGTGTGTGGAATGGTGTAATAGTCCTTTGACTTGTGGTCAATACGCAATTCATGTATAGAGTGATTTACTTAGACCTAGTCCAACGCTTACGCCCTTATGGGTAGATACAGGCTTGTGTTGGGTAGACCATGATATACATGGAATTGGTAGTTGAGCCAAGATATGATTCATTCCTCAAATATAGTTTCGAGAGAACACTCGTTTTCTATATACTAGGTTGATAAAGTCATTGGCCAATGCACGTGATTATATTTGAAATGGTGTTCAAATACAATTGATAAAATCAACCAGTAAGATAAGATAAAATGATTAAGCTGTTTGGATAGACACACGTTCAAGTCCGAAGCTTAATCGAGTGGGTCGTGAATGAAGGGATTGTATCATCATTGAATTCTACACTAAAGGTTTGTTTGCTTGTCCATGTAAACGTACTTAATATTTTGAGTTCGTCCTTCGACGCAGTCTAGGAGTTTCGTAAGGATCATAAATTAGATTTATGTTAATATATGAAGGCTTATAGGGTCACACAATAAGCAATCAATTTTCCGACTAAGAGCGAATCGAGAGTGTTAAATATTCAATTAGATTGGACTATTTGTTTATGAGTAATGAGATTATTTTCTATTTGATGGAAAATATTTAATTAAGTTAAATTGGATTTATACTTAATTAGTAATGAGATTATTTTATATTTGATGAAAAATATTTAGTTAAGTTAAATTAGATTTTTATACTTAATTAAAATATTAATTGGATTAGATCCAATTACCTATTGGGTTGTAGGGTTTCTTAAGGCCCATATAATTAGGTTTGACCTCATTATAAATATGTCATTATCTCATTGTAGTATTCATCGATCATTAGATGAGAGAAGAAGAGAGAAAAGAGATACGCCGTAAAAACACAATACACTTTCTAGCTTTCTGGCTCGAAGATTCCTAGCTTCTTCACCTAAGAGGAATCATTGGTGTTGGATCGTGCATCGGGAAATTGGATTGCGTGGATACCATAGTCGATGACAAGACTGAATAACTGTAAGTTTTCGTGTATCATTCACGCGATCTAGAATCATATCGAATAGCTATTAGCCGGATCTTCGTTGTTGGTAAGAAAATTTTAAAATTCCGCTGCGTGTACGATGGTTCGTACGTCTAAAATCCAACAGTAGTAAATGCAAGAGAATCATATTGCAAATTTCCTAAACCCTTAAAACTAATTATCTTTATTTAAGTAAAAGTTTGAAAATTAAAATTGGATTCTTGTGTTCCTTCTAACTTATCATTTTGCTCTATGTAAGCACTAATAAGAGTATGATACAACATGGATAAGAAGATAAGATATATTTTAAAATCTTAAGGACGCTAGTACAACAATAGATTTCCATTTTTGATCAAATAATATTATAAAAATATAAATTTTATTATTTAATATAAATGATCACAAAATAAATGTACACAGACCCATTATTTTTTAAAAAAAAAAACTTGTACAATTTTAATAATCATGCCGAAAAAAAAAATAGCTCAAGAAATGTCGAGTGAAGTACACTTGTCCAGCCAATTCCCTTTCCCACTTGCAGGTGAAAACCTAATTTCCGGCTTGCCTCTCCACTACGGCGCCTCTCCTTCCTCCGGCGGGAGCCAATTACTGTGGTAGTATCAGTGTCGATCGTCATTCTGAGGGTCGCCACTCTCTTCCTCGCGTGAGTTCCCCCTTCTTTTCCGAAGGAGGGCTATGGTGGATGCGTTTGTGGTGGTCGTCAGGCGGCTTTGTGGCGACGGTGGTGGGCGTTTGATCGTCTGGCGATTGAAGCTCGTTGTTTGCTACTCTGCGGCTCTGTCTCCGCCATTGTTTCGACCGTGGTGTTTGGGCTAACAGGGGGCTGGCGGTGGCGGCGCCGAGTTGTCGCCGACTGTTTGGGGGCCTGGGGGCAGCTTCGCTGGTGCTAGTCCGACGGTGACTTCTTGGGTAGGGCTTCGTCTTTAGTCCGAATCTTGATGTCGGTCACGGAGTTTCTAGGATTTTGGACAGAGATTTGATCTCTATTGGGTAGTTATTTGGATGTTGGCTTGCTTGAGGTTCCTAGGAGGTCTAGCCGATGTAGAGAGGGATTTAGTCTTATTTTATATTTGTTTTGGTTATTGTTTTTGTCTGTGTTTTCGATTTTTTCTCTTCTTTTCGGAGTGTGTTTTTTGTAGTCTCCTTTCGGTAGGAGTATTTTTCGTCTCCCTTCTGTAGGAGTATAGGGGACACTTGTTGTGTTCTCCCCCCTTTGGTTTTCTTTCTAGTCTAAGTTAGTAATGGTTGCAAGTGTAATATGTTAACTACCGGTTTCACAGTTTGTACTTCCGAGATGTGGTAATACAGACGTTTGACAAAAAAAAAAAGAAAAAGAAAAAGAAAAAGAAAATAAGTACACTTCTAAAATAAATAATTGATACGTAGTTAGCCTTTTTCTAAAAAAAAAATACACGTAAAAAAGAATAAATATTAATAATAAATAAATAAT